TTAAATATTCCACTGCCAAGGGGGAATTTGGGTAGCCCTTCATGCCCGTCAGGTTTGGTCAGCCTTTCCCAGGCACCAAGCTTTCAGTGTTGCAGCCCCTACCCTGAGAAACTCCTTGCCAATTGAAGTCCCTCAGGACATCTCTGCTTCCTTTTAGATGTTGAAACCTGTATTGTTCAGGTGGGCCTTTGGAACTTGATTTTGTTGTTTTTAACTAACCAGTTTTATTGATATGCTATTATAGTAGCTTATGTTTGATATGCTATTATAGTAGTTTATGTTTCCACATCGCACACCACCTTGTTGTTTTTCTATCAAAGTATGTATGTGTGTATATATATATATATATATATATATATATATATATATATATATTTAAATGGTTTAATGAAACAAACCAGGTTCAAATCTGGCTCACGCCACCCAGCCAGCATGTCTGATGGTCAGGGTCAGATGATGGGTAGTTGTAGTCCAACAACACCTGGAAGGCATCTGCAGTTTAAGTTAATCAGAGCTCCAAGTTCAGATGTAAGGGGGAACTCCCACTAGCAGATGGTTCCACTGTGACAGGACATCTTAAACAAGACGGCTCACTTTCAGAGATTGGATATTGGGCCTTGTGGGCTGCTACATTCTTATATTTCTGAGAAAATATTATTTGTTTGCACTACTTACTATGCTGTTCAGCTGTTGACTGAGCTCTGCTGTTTAGGCAACAAGTGTCTATGTGGTTGAACAGGACCCAAGAAGTCCTGGGCAATTGGTTTTCCTTTCCCAATTGAATTGTTAAAAGCCATGACATGTACAGCTCCATTTGCTGGATTGGTTGAAGCAGCAGCATTGACCAGCACAGCAACTGAAATGTGGCTTTGTTGCTTAGAGAATGGGGCAGACAGAGCAAAGCCAGTCCTGTCCTGCTACTTGGAAACTCCCTGAGTGACAAGAGATTGAGAGCAGACAAAGGGAAGTACTGTATTTTTTGCTCTATAAGACTCACCTTTTTCCTCCTAAAAAGTAAGGGGGAATGTGTGTGCGTCTTATGGAGCGAATGCAGGGTGTGCAGCTATCACAGAAGCTAGAACAGCAAGAGGGATTGCTGCTTTCACTGCGCAGTGATCCCTCTTGCTGTTCTGGCTTCTGAGATTCAGAATATTTTTTTCTTGTTTTCCTCCTCCAAAAACTAGGTGCGTCTTGTGGTCTGGTGCGTCTTATACAGCTTCTCTACCACTCTCATATTCTGAAGAATAGATGACTGGAAAGTATTTATTGGGGAGCAAACAGCAGGGCAGAAGTATTGCTTGTGGGTTTCTCACAAGCAAGTGACTGGACTAGACTGACCTTGGTTTAATTCAGCAGGGTGGTTGTTGTGCTTTTAAGATGAAGCACTAAACTGGTGTGGCTGACCTGCATCCCTCAATATATTGTTGGACTCTAGCTCCCAGCAGTCTCAGCATAACTAATGGTTAGGGATGATGGGAACATCTAGAGGGAAACAGATTTGTCACTCCTTCGCTAAGCTGTAAGCAAAACAGGTAAGCTAAAACTAAAATAATCTACAAATCTATTGAGAATTTCACTGAACCGTCTTTCTTTTTCTACAAGCCAAGTCAGTTTCTTTCTCTTTTCTCTTTCAGAATGTGCTACTAGAACTATCATCTATCATGAAAAAATAATGCTTTCTTAGCAGCACTACCAAAGCACAGCAGCAAATCCCGAAACCTGAAACATGAAGGTTAAAAGCAGTTCTCTCCCTTCCTCCTAGACCCTAGCAAATATGCTGCTTCAAGGTGGACAGCTATGGATATGGAATCTGTTATTTCTGACTGACACATGCATCTTGGCAGCCGCAAGTGTGATCCAAAAGCCGCTTTCAAAATGCTCCCATTTCCTCTCATGTGCAACTACTAGGAGCTGTTTAGTGTGTCCAGCTGCTACAAAACAGCATTCTTTTGTTCCTAGGAGAAGACTATGGGGGAGATATGCCATTTGATTTGTAGGACTGCCACATAGCTATCCAGCAGGAGCCCTGGTACACAACTTCAAGGCTGTTGAGATACAAAACATCTGTAAGGGTGGGATTGGCAGACGAGACTGCTTTCTGAAAGGCTCTCTTCCCTGCCCACCTCTGTACACCTCAGGAATCAATGAATAAAAGATGAAAGCAGCATGCAGTAAGTTTTTAGTTCAGTGCTGCAGGTTAACAAAGAAGTCTGAATACATCTCGAAGATTCACAGCTACCTCTGTCCCCAGACCTTTGGCACGCTGAATCTTATGATCTTGAAGGAATTGTCAGCATTACCTTGTTACTTGCCTGTTTCTCCAAATGTTAATAAACACGGGCTGAAAGCTTTTTTAAAAAAACAAAACATTATATAGCCTACCCCTGTTTTATTCCTTTAGCATAAAAGGGGACTAAAACAGCAACTTAAACTGTTTCTACATTGTCTTTGTCCAGACAGTTCTACTTGCTGCTGCTTATGGAAAGGTTGGGTTTTTAACAACAAAAGAATAATAACGTCTCTTTCTGACTACTGCTGTTCCTGCCCTATATAGCACATAGGAAGTAAGGGTAGCCTTGCCATAGAAAAGATACCTGTCCTGAAGGGGAAACTGTTCATTATCTGGGTGTTTTCTCTCTCTCCTCTTGTTCTTAAATAGGGCAGAGATGTCTGAGCACACAGCTAGACTTAATGGAGGGGATAATAGATTCAAAAAATGGTAGGGAATAACTGCAAGGTCAAAAATGAATAGGCCAGACTGTTTCCAGCTATGTGTGGCAGCAAGGGAAAGATTATTGAGTTCACAACAGGGATGCACAACTCCCAAGGGTCACTTCAGTGCTTTTAACTAACTCAAGAGGCCCTCATTGCTATATCCTATGCGAAAAGCATTTCTGCTGCAATTTTAATAGTTCTTTCTTTCTTTCTTTCTTTCTTTATCGATTTCTTTTTCTCATAGAGCACACACTTTCTTTATGAAATCCATTCCATCTTTTCAGTCTCACTCAAACACAAAAAGCATACAGAGTAAAAACCAACCCTTACCCCTTTGGGACAGAAAGAAAAAACCAGCCCTAGAAACCACAATAGATAAATGTTCAAACAGGCAACTGCAATATGGAACAAGTGAGTTTCTTCTTCTGTTCCAGTTATTATGGTGCTCCAATCAACCCTCAAGAATGCACAATTGCTTCAAGCTGCACACTTAAATGTTAGGTTGAATAGGAAACATTAACTAAAGGATAAAGAAAGACATGGTGGGGAAGACCCACTTCCATGTTTTTCACAAGCTTTTAGTGTTTTCTTTACTAGTAAATGAAGATTTTTATAAAAGATACCATGCCCAAGGAATACAGCGAGATAAATCACAAACTAAACAACTCTGTATTTAGTTTACAAAACCTAATTGACAATAATGTGCAGCATGTCAACACATTCTATTACATGAGATCTTAAATAATATATACAATGCCAAAGTAATAATGACATGCGCAACTCAGTATTTCAAAGCTGAGCAGTCCAAATATTCCTGAAATAAGCAACTCTCTAAATGCATTAAAGCTACCTGAAGGTGGCTCACATATGTATATTGCTTTATGAATGTTAAGAAGACCCCCATGTGAGAAAACGCTCATCAAAAGCTCAGACACAACCTTCATAGTAGCTCACATGACCTTGGATACAATGCTTTATAACTGAGGCAGCTCATTTGTTCGGCTGCACGCCACTGAGGGCTGAACATGAATGTGTGATTCCATTAAAATTCGCCTTAAAAGTAAGCTAAGATCATGCAAAGGTGAATTCTGCCTGTGGCACCTACACCGATCTTGCTACCTGAAGTGCAAATGAAGACCAACAGTGAGCCAGTATGGACAATGGCAGAATGCCTAATTCCTACATAACACTACATTTAGATGTACAGTGGTGCCCCGCAAGACGAACGCCTCGCAAGACGGAAAACCCGCTAGACGAAAGGGTTTTCCGTTTTGGAGGCGCTTCGCAAAACGAATTTCCCTATGGGCTTCCTTCGCAAGACGAAAGCCCATAGGGAAATCTCCGGGACAGCAGGGAAGCGCAGTGCGTCTTCCCCACTGTCCTCGGACCTCCTCCAAAGGCTGGTGGTGGGGCGGAGAGACCTCCTCCCGCCGCCAGCCTTCGGAAGGCTCCTCCGAAGGCTGGCGGTGGGGCGGAGAGACCTCCTCCCGCCGCCAGCCTTCGGAAGGCTGCTCCGAAGGCTGGCGGTGGGGCGGAGAGACCTTCTCCCCGCACCAGCCTTCAGATGGCTGTCCTGAAGACTTGCGGTGGGAGGAGGGTTTTCCTTCCCACCGCCAACATTCAGAATGCTGTTCTGAATGTTGGTTGTGGGGAGGAAAAACCCTCCTCCCACCGCAAGCCCCGGGAACAGAGGAGAAGCGCTGTGCGCCTTCCCCTCTGCTCCCGTACCTGTCCTGAAGGCTTGCGGTGGGGAGAAAAGCCCTTCTCCGCACTGCCAGCCTGGCAAGCGGTCTCCATAGGAACACATTAATTGATTTTCAATGCATTCCTATGGGAAACCGTGCTTCGCAAGATGAAAAACTCGCAAGAAGAAAAAACTTGCGGAACGAATTAATTTCGTCTTGCGAGGCACCACTGTAGTCTTGCAGTTTATTTAAGATCTGGTATCTAACAGCACAATCGTGACCATGTCTATTCAGAAGTTGTTGCTGGCATCCATCTGTCTTAAGAGACAATGGGGGTGTGCCTCTGGGGGTGAAGTCACAGGTAAGAGCTAAGTGCAGGGTGAGGATCAAAGGAAGACAAACTACCACAGAAGGAGCACTACGCGTTCCTCCACCAACGGAACTATGCCTCTCCTAATACCCTATATACCCCAGAAGTAATTTCTACTGAATTTACTGGGGCTTACTCCCAGGTAAACGGGGTTAGGATTGCTGCTTTAGCCACCTTTCAGATTTGCTTGGTTTTCAATGAACGTAACATTAAATTCAGAGGCAGAGATCTACAATACGTAATGATATGTCTTTATTTCATCAACAGAAATGGTGTCTAGACAAAATTCAGTTAACACTATCAATTCAAATGAATGGAAAGGGTTTTCTTTTTCTTTGCACGATACTGTATTTACAATGAGTAAATGAAGTCTTAAATTTATTAGTTCATAGCAATGCTGTTTTTTTCTCCAAAAAGGTAAAAATTCTTAGTAACAAGGAATAAGCATCAACAGCCATTTCATTTATACAATATAAATCACAAGAAACCACAGTCACCTAGAAAAAAAATAATAGACAAGCTTAAGAACTAGTACAATAAAATGATGCATTGAATTAAGTTACATTAATCGCATAGAATCTGTGTAAAAAGTATATAGAAAAACACCTGATGCAACTTGTTACAGTCATTGACCAGTTATGAGAGGTACAGAGGATTATACAGGTAGATATGTGTGAAAACTGTCCATACTGTCTGACCTGGGGAGGAAGAGAAGAGGGATTGCATCCCCTTGCATACACTGATAAAAACCCTGTTTTGAATATGGCCTCTGAAGTTTGTAAGGCATATAGTAGAGGTGCACTTGTATCCCACTGGTTCTGGAACAAACTCTTGGGGTGTTCTCCACCCTTGAAATAAAAAGTTGACCCTTGAATTGAATGGCAAAAATCAAGCATCCAAAGATCTCCAAAGTGTTTAGCATAATTTCTGATTGGAGGGATCCAGATATATTCAGTCATATCACAAGCAGTAAATATACAAGTTTCTGAAGCACACATCATCTCTTTTTGTGACATTGCAAATGTAAGAGCTTAAACTTGCTTTCAAAACAACACACAATTCTATGGTTAAGTGGGGTGGGTGGGGAAATCCTGGCTAGATACTCAGGATGGCTCTCCAAATCTGAACTGACCTATTAAGACAGAGTGCTATGGGAAATCCTAGGCTGAGTTTCTGACTCAAAATTCCTTCAAATCAATGGATAACTAATTCCAGAATGAGAAACTGAGTCACATTTCAAACTCTGAGCAATGAAAAAAGTCAATTTCTGACCAAACTGCTTAAGCTTTTCAGTTCCAAAGGTTGCAGTCCTATGCACACTTAGCCGGGAATAAGTTCTATCAAAAAGGAAGCAAACATGCTGCACAAATGTACATATCAATTACCACACTGCATAGGTGTCTAAACTTGTATGTAAACTGGACTTCTATAATAGAGCTGATGTTGTAATAGAGTTAATGACATGTCCAACAATAAAAGGTATTTAAACCAGTCATAAAATTTTTCTTTTAAGTTTGAGAAGGGAATTTGAATAATTAACGCTCCACCGGAAAAGTGGTTTCCATCACAATGGTAGAACCATATGAGTATTATAATTTAAAAACAAACACATATCACTAGTTTTAATGGGTTTTTTTTTAATATATAATATTGGTGGAGTGTAGGAAAATACTGTAATTCTTTTACACGGCAAGCAATGACATTCTAACTTCCAGAGAAAATTATAATAATTTATTAGTAGTCTACAATCCACCAAACTATAGATTTTAATATACATAAAATTGTTTGAATGGACTTAACATATGTACATGTACAACTCTATTCTGCAGCATCATTTGATGCCTGAGTCTTGAAATAATTCAAATATTATAAATATACATAGTATAAACAAGCAAAAGTACACACACTGATTTTATACTGGAGATAGAAATTAGCTACCACATTTTAGCAAGGTTTCCCTTAGGCTACATCAAATCCTTTTTTTTTCCTTTTCATTTTGTCCCTATCCCCCTTCTCTAAATAGAATTTTAAAACGGGTACACAATTAAGCTGATGTAACAAAAATAAGGGGATAAATAAACATAAAACCTTATTATTTGTGTGTGAAGACTACCTCTTGGAGTCATTGGTTTGAGCTGGGTTGGTGAGGCTTGCATAGGCTTATCAATACTACCCATTAGGCCAGATGCTCAAGGAACATTCTAGCTTCATCGGCTAAACCTACATGTATTATTTCTATTTATTTTTAAAAGACACCCATGAAGATAAAATGGTGGAATAAGATTAAAGGCTCTGGAGGTCTCTTTATTTTAGAATTATTCTGACTCTGGCATACAAACTTAAAAAACCCCAAACATATAGCAGTTTGTCACAATGCTTACCATATTCCATCTAGGGAAGAATTCATTTTTGTTTTAAGAGCTCTGAGGAAAACTGAAATTCCACAGATGTAGCTTTTCTCATCACAGCAATGCACTGACGAGAAAAACCACACCTGCTGAATATCACAGTGTTCAGAACTCCTGTCAGGGGTGAAAACAAAATGGCTGAATGTTTTTCTTTCTTTTTCTTAAAAAACCTGCCTATATAAGTATGCTGGGTATTTATCAAAGCTTTTGAAATTAAAAGCTTGGACATGAGTTGAATGTAACCCTTAACCACCATATTATCAGCAGCTGAATCTGTTACACTAAGTTTTATCCAACGTCCACACTATTTTTTTTTTAAAGAGACAGCAGTTGTAAATACTAATCACAGTGGTTTGTGTATCCAATGATTTTTTTTTACTTCCTTGGGAACAAAAATACATGGATTAGATCCAAAAAATAAAAATAAAATAGTGCATCTTTAAAGCAGCATATATCCTTAGAAAGACATTGAATAATTTACTTGCACAATATATAAAATAATAGTTTTATACTGCAGCATCAAACTCTGACGCCTGAGTCGTCATATGTTAGGTCTAGAATGTAAATATGGGGATGTCTTGGTAACTTGATTGAGTCTTTTTTTTCCTTTTAAACTAGCTCTTTTGTTCCAGAATCAGGTTGCAATGAACTTCAGTTGTATTCAAGGCACCCCCAAGATAACACAGAGAAACAAATATATTACATAGTGTAATACTCACCTGACAAAAGCAGAAAAAGCCTAAATGAAATGAGGTTTTCTGGCAATACAAAGTATAGCAAAGGCAAATAAAAAGGAGGACTAGTTGCAGACTGGACAAAGCTAAATGCATACTCCTTACATGCTCTTTGTATCAGTGCAAAAGCAGTTTCCATCTAGCACAAAACGTCAAATTGAGACAAACCTATTAATTCCTTTATGAATTTTTTTATCAATTGAAGGTATTTTCTCCTTCTGCATTGTTCAGCAATGCCTACTTATTTATTTTCCAATAGAAGTTTGGTCAGTTCAAATGTGTCGCTTCGTGTCCAGTTCTGAAGCTAATTCTCCTACATGTCTCTCTTGACATTAACCCAAGAGCCACATGTAGTTCTGAAGAACCATACACAATATATAGTCCAATGAAGAAAAATATACATATCAGTCATTTGTAAATGGTGAAAAGCTAAACTCATCCTAAAAAGCTTGAAACGATAGACTTATCTGAGCAGTAGACTTTAAAAAATCAGTTTCTCCAAGAAAAGAAAACGGAAGAAAAAGGTAGAGAGAGGCCCAGCACCAATGAGAGAGCCAGGTCAATACAATAGCTGTGGAACAATATGTTCTGTCAATTGCATTTAAACCACTGGAATGAGGTCAAAAGTACCAGTTGCACGTGAGTTGGTGTGATAGCAAATCTTCATGTCAGAAAGCTAGCTCAGACTTGGTTGAATACCCATAAAAACCACAACTAGCTGGAGGTCACTTAAAAATAAAGAAGGCAACAGAAAAAAACAAACATTTGAACAATACTGTCGACTGAACGATTACAACAACAAAATCTCAAATGCAAAAACCTGGCTTTAAAGCCATAATGCAATTCACATGTAGCTTTAAAAAAAAATCTAGCTTCCATCACTGTCCATCTCACAGAAGTTAAGATTTATTTGCAAAGCACAGAAGGGCTCTGCAATGTCAACTGATTACAAGTCAATCCCCTCATAGTTGCATATCCCCTAACCCCCTAAAGAGCTTCTGTTTTCTGCACACAGAATTGTTGCAAGCTTCCAATATAATTAAATAGCTACAAAGCGAGTCAAGGACTTTCTCACCCCTGCGCCAAAACATCCTACAGCTTGAACTAGCATCCTTATGACATATATAAATAGATGAATAATTAGAGTAAGTTTTTGTTTGTTTTACAGAAATGGTTAATACTTAATTTATAATATTTAAAAACATAGCAGTTCCAACCTACATAAGAACATCCCTCCCTTCCTAGTAAATAAATGTGGCACATGCAATGGATACGCCTCCTGGTTGGCAGGTAAGTTGCAGTGAATTTGAAGTACAGAGAAGAAACAGGACTGGCAAGCTGTCTGCATAAGCTGATAAAAAAGAGGGTGTCAATTCATCCTTTAGAAAAACAATGCAGATTTACTGAGTGCCATACCGCTTAGTGTAAACATTAGCACTGAGAAACATATTGTCATAGTTAATAGGGGGGAAAAACCTGTTTGAATCACATGGGGTGGCTCAATATGGTTTTACCCACAGAAAAGGTGAACAGTACCAATCTGTAAACCATAGATGCCATCATAAAATATAGCTCAAAGCACCCTGGCACAATCAAGATAGAAAGTCACTTTAAAAACAAAACAAAACAGAGGACACAATCCATCAGGGATAAGGTGATGAGGGAAAAAGTATTCTACAAAAAAACCTCCTTGAAATCTTTGGATGTTATGCAAAAGCATTTCTCTTGAGCAATTCCCATCAATCACAATAAAAATGGTGTAGGAAAAGTCCTGGTGGATTGTGCCCACCCATTCCCTGAAGAGTTGTTTCCATGTGTTTGTTGGGCAGATGTTACATCTGAAAGAAGCTTGCCTTGCACAATCACCATGCGAGTCAGGTCAGCTGGAGTTTTGTGAATTTCCTTGAGTTTCAGTACTTCTGAAACTTGTCCTCCAACAAAGTTTCCTCTGAGACAGATGCTGCTTTGTGCTGATAAAAATAATGCAAACTGAGGGAACCTGACAGCACAATATTTCCGACACATGGGCAATCACTGCAGAATCACTGCAGAAATGCATGCTTTTTAGCACTTTGGGGTAGAGATTGCTCTAAGCAAGCCTCTACATCTCTATATTACAGGGCCAGTCCTGGAAACCTTTCACGTAGACAGTTTCTCATACTTTTGTGGAGCTGAGTTAGAGTTGAACAAATGCCAGTGTAAATAGGAAGCAAGTGTAGTGAAACACTGCTGTTAACACCTGCATAACATGGTGTACAGCAGAATTACACACTGAGGCCAATAGGACTATTGGAAGGGATGAACAGCACTAGTACGACATAAATAAGCAAGAATTGCAATGGGAAGCTTAATTCAAACTTCACTGAGTCTCATGGAACTATGTTCACCAACGTAAACAGCCTGTGTCTTTAGCTATAGTTCTCAATATCAGTGACATACACTGGCCACTGTACAGTTTTTAAGGTGTCTTTGTAAGTATCAAACGATACTTGACAAATAGAAAATCCCTCTTAAAGAAAGAAGAAGAAGCAGCGACTTAATATCTGAATTGGGGAAGTAAAAGAAAGAAGAAAAAGACGAATACAGAAAATACCCAATTCACACTATTGGGTGAATTCCATATTTGGCAAGATTGTTATTTCCCTACATAATCATCTCCTGAGTGGTGTTGTTGTTTTTTTATATAAAAAATGTTGTTTTACTTAACAGATAACAATAAAAAAGCAAAGAATACAGTATATGAGTTATACTGAAGTCACAACTTCATTTATGAAAAGGGGTTTGATCCAAAACTCAGTGCAAGTGGCAAAGTTGACCATCGCTGTACAGTATTGTGAGAGGATTCAAATAAAACCCACTTTGCTCAAATGGGCACATAAAAGACAGCTGTGCCACAAACACTGTGTATATTAAAATTTCAAATCAGCTTCCAACATTAAACTTTATAAATAAAATACAAACTGAATGATATTGCTGAACCGTGAACCTAAGTGGTGGTGAGAAAATATTAAAAACAGTTACAAACTACTACCTAGCATTGACAAAAAAAAAAAAAAAAAAAGGAATGTTGGAATTTGTTTATACAATAGAAATGGAAAAAAAATTCCAGTTGTTTTCATGAGAAAAAATTGAGGCATGCAGGGATTTTTTTTGCATATGGATATATATTTTTATATATACTATATATAGTATGTACAGTTTAGTTATAAAACTTTGATGTGTAAAGAAGCTGTCTTCAATGAAAAATTGAACATTCAGAGGAAATTCCTGAGTTAGGGTTTTGTGACATGGGCCACTGAGAAAAAAGCTGCGTTTGGGTCCTCAGAGGTGTTATGTCCATCCCTGTTGAATATTGAAATTAAAATACAATAACAACAACAATAACAACAACAATAAAAAAGAAACAGACAGTGTTGCCACTGTTTTGTTCCCCTGCATGAGCAAGGGATAGCACCATAGTGAAGAAGTTAAACTCCCGCATGTAGAGAGGAGGGAATACTTAAAAACAGTATTGCTGCTAAGACCACTGTAGTGTGCACCAAATATGTTCTTCAATCTAAACAACAAACGAACGTGGCCACTGGCTGACTGAAGAATACCTTGCTAGGCATGGCGTGAAAAAGGTATACAGCCACTAGGTGTATTCCTTCCTAGGTTGCTCATCTGTTGTACATTTATCAGTCATTTCCTGACAGAAGTCCACTGTCACCGTTTGGTTATTCTGCTCGAGAGGGAGCTCCTGTTCGCAGTAAGTACCTTGGTCAGCTCCATCCAATACTCTTGCCGCTGCGCATTTGTCAGAAATGTTGTTAGGTAGCCAGTGAGCTCCTAGTTGCTGCACTGGGCTTTGCTCCGAACAGCACTGCAAGCCTTCCCCAACACACTGAGATGTCACCACATTTTGCTCTACTCCGGCTGGCGAAGGGTTGATACTGGTTGCTGTTGGAAGATCCATAGGCCTGAGGACAGGGCAGTATCGGTGCAGGTCTTGGATCTGTTCGGAGCTCTGCATATCCCTACACACTTCTTGGGAAAGGCAGGAGAAATTATCTAACAGCTCCCCCATGCATGCCTTCAATTGGTTCCTTTCTGATAGAAGTTTCTCCTTCTCACAAACCTGAGAGAGAGAGAAGTGAAAGGTCTTAATTTTAAGAAGTATGGTGTATCAGGCTTCTAGAACTCAGAAATAAATCCAGGCAAAGCTAATTCATACATTACACAGAATGATGTGGCAAAGCTCTGGACTATACAACTTCAGACTAGAGATGGAGTGAAGATTTGAAGCAGAGTTTCTTGACCATGTGAGGATCACTGCTTGAATTCTTGTAGATAAAATCAAAAGGGGCACTGCATGCTAAGTGTAGGCTCCCTGTCCCAACCTCATTTCTGTTCACACCCCAAAGAGGAGAGTAAAAGAAGTCATTAGCAGAGTCTCTATACGGCTAATGTGTTCTGCTTATATTGGCCAGGAAGGAGGAGAGGCCTTCCATCTGGGTAGCCCTTGACGTCTTGCTGCTTCAACCCCTTCCCCCAAAATAAGGTTATTTCTCCTCAGATAACGACAGGGTGAAGGGATAGAAGGCAGTAGAAGGAACCAGGCTCTTTGAGGATTCCTTCTAGAATGCTTGAAGAGGGCTTCAGGCAATTGATAGTACACTCAAAGGCCCAATTATTTTTCAGGGCACGCACTAGGAGGTTTGTACACTCCTGCTTCAGACTGCAGTGGTTTGTGTGCATTTGCACACATGTGACATATTTTTATGAAGTGCACAACCATGTAAAAAGCCCTCCCCCTCATGCAGTAAAGTAGCACACCAGAGAGAAAAGTATAGCTCAGCCCTCTGGACTTTCTACCATTTGCACTCTATAAGGTGTGGTACACATCCAAAATTTTACCACAATCTGAAACCTCATTCTATGTAAAGTGCAGAGCAGCCCAGAGCTCTAGTTAGGTCCATTTCCGATGTCTGTAACAGCCAGGGGAAGAAACATGCAACTTGCTGATCTTATATATTGCAATTTCTACCTGTTTCTTCACTTTCCAAAAACAGCTGGGCCATATGTGCTAAGGACGAGCACAGGTAACTTAGGTAGCCCAGAGGGCAAAGGCAGATAAGAAATGCTTAGGGCTTCAGAGGAGAAAGGAAAAAATATGGTGACCAAACTTCACGCACATGCCTCTCTTCACTTTGGCATGACCAAAAGATGCACAGAAGTGGCATTTAAATATACATGTAGGCGTGAATCATGTGAAGGCACATGATTGCTAACACTAAGCAGGGAAACAACCTAGAACCCTTATGAAGTCAGTAGTAGGCTGAACTGTAGAAGCAAGGAAGGGCACAGAATGCAAAAATAATTAAAACATAAAAAAGGTAAAACTCACCAACTTGCGGATTTCACATTCTAAATTCTGAATACAGTCCAGTTTTCTCTTACGGCAACGCTGAGCTGCAATCCGGTTTTTACTGCGCCGCCGAACATCATGGATAAATTCCAATTGCTCTGAGGTTAATTTGTGCATCTTTATCATCATCTGGAAATCATTCCTTGGAAGATCCGTGATTTGATCTACAGGAAATGGAAGTTTCACCTGGGGGGGGGGAGAGAAAAAAAATATTCAGATTCCTTAATTAACGAAGTATTTAACAGCGGTTTAGGGAAAGAAGATTTTATCCAAAGAGGGTTGACAACATCTATACTAACTGCTGCATTCTAGTCAGCCTGGAATACTCATAGAAGTTAGTGTGTAAGTTAATGTTTATATAATAAAATCAGCAGTGCTACCTCTATCTCTAGGTAATTATAAAGTGAATAGAATTCATTTACATATAAGAAGAAACTAGTCTACTTGATAGAAGCTCCACTTGTGAGAATTAGGGTTTTTAATTTCTATAGTGCAAGATTTTGCTATAAACCCTAAAACAAGAACTATTTTGTAATATTTACTGAAGTTATTTATGCCTTATGTTAACTGTTTTAGTAGAGAGTTCAGCCAACTTATATCAGTGGAACTATATACTATCCAATTTGACAGCCAGCATATAAAAGGTTAGAGCAAATACATCAATGCAATGGCACAAAAATGTTATGCAAGCAGTTCAGTGACCCTTGAGGTTCACACACTGGCACAAATGTTCAGGATTTTGTTTGTTTATTTAGACATTTACTTCCCACTTTTCTGTGATAAAATAAAGTCAAGGCAACTTACAATGAAAATATAAATGAGAAGAAAATTAAAAACAAAACCAACAAATTAAAAACAAAGTAGTATACATAGGCCTTCAAGGTTCCTAAAATGTTTTTCCCTCTAAAGGAATAAATTATCCTAAGGGACTGAGAATAAAACAAGTAACATACTGACATTACATAAGCATATGGCACATTCATATTTGGAATAGTGTGTTTAGTTCTGGTTAGAACTGGGCAAAGTACAGAAAAGAGCAACTAACAGCCCAATCCTTTACATTATTATTTTTATTTATTAAATTTCTATACCACCCTTCATCTGAAGATCACAGGGCAATAAACACACACACACAGATAGATATGTCGGTTTTCGAACGTAATCTGTTCTGGAAGACATTTCGTCTGCTGAAACGTTCGAAAACCGAAAACTCAACATGGAAGCCTCAATATGGAAGCCACATGGCATGTTCGACTTCCAAGGTGTGTTCGAAAACCGAATCATTTACTTACGGGTTTACAGCATTCGAAAACCAAAATGTTTGTGAACGTAGACATTTGAAAACTGAGGTACCACTGTGTGTGTGTGTAACATAGTAACAAACAAAGCATATCTACTCAGAAGTAAATCCCATTAAAAGAAATAAGTAAATCCCATTGAGTTTAATGGGACTTATTCCCAGGTAAGTATGTATATGATTGCTGCCCGAAATAATCAATATATTGGGAATACCCTTCCTACAACTGAACACTAAAGTCACTATTCTAATTTATAGAAAAGATGGCATAAAAACATTTATTTACAAGAAAGAAGGAATGTCATGGAAAGAAACATAATCCCCCCACCCCCATCTCTGCCCACACCTTTTGTACTGGAATCAACAGTGGTAGCATTGGCAGCAGGTTCAGGACAGACAATAGGAAGTACTTCTTCAAACAAGGCATAATTTTACTTCCCCAAGACACTATGGCGACTACTATCTTAGATAATGTAACATAGGAACAGGGATCCTGTGGCCCTCCAGATATTCCAATGACCTCAACTCCCATCAGCCTTAGCAAGCATGGCCAATGGTCAGGGATTATGGGAATTATAGTCACTGGCAGAGGAAGAAGCGTGCGGGGGGAGCACACCGCCCCCGGAAGTGCGATCCTGGCGGGGTGCCATCATGGCTGCCCCCCGCCCGTGCTGGGTGTCACGCCCCTACGGGCAGCACACCACACCCCTAGGATGCATGCCACGCCCCCAGGACACGTGCCACGCCCCTATGGGTGGCACACCACACGCCTAGGATGCACAGCACACCCACAGGATACGTGCCATACCCCTATGGCTGGTGCACCACGCCCCTGGGACAGCTCCGCCCCCGCCTGCTCTCCGCCCCCCAGTGCCGGAGCATGAAGCTCCACCACTGATTGTAGTAGCACCTCTGAAGGACCACAGGTTAAAGCTACTCCTTGGGAATCAGACAAATTAATGGAGCACTGGTTTCTTAACAGCTATTCACCACAGCTGAATAGAAGCTCCATTCTCAGAAGTAGTATTCCTCCCAGCAGTAGACCGTGCAACACCAAGCTCTTGCTCTGAGTTTCTAGAGGCACCTAGTTTGACTATTCCTGGAAATGGATAAGAATACTGATCTAGCAAGATAGATCTTATGGTTTTAGGTCATGTTACATGGAACTAATTAGTCCACAGAGTGCCTTGACATCTTTCGTCCTTTTATGTACGAAAACAGCCCACTATGCTAGAATACATCGTGAATGCATCTTTGCTTGTTTCAGTTATCCACAATGGCCACGAGGTGGTGCCAGGCCTTTAAGTTTCACACTGAAAGAAAGACTGCACTTAGAAATGGGTAAACAGTATATTCTTTTGCCAATTGTAGAGTTTGAAGAGAACCCAAGGGTCATCTAGTCACAGATTCCTGAGGAAAACTCTTGTTGATATTTCATTGCAGATTTTAGTACTTAGTATGGATGCTGTCAAATACATGGAGACAGAGATACCTACTATTACTTTAGAAGCCAATTCAAACCTTTCTGCCTGTTTTAATACAACAAATAGTGTGCATGTCACCTGTGTTAGCACTAGGTTTTGGAGGGTGCTTGAGCAAGAAACCCAAACAGGCCCTGGTCTCTCACTAACTCCTCATTGCTATCATCATCACCAGCTGCTGCTCGTCTTCTTCATCACCACTGCCACCTGCTTGCTTGCCAGGCAGTGAGCTAATGGACAATAGATGACAGTGCCATCTACTCCTCCTCCTAACATTAGAACCAGCCTGCTGGATCAAAGCAAAGACACATCTGGATCAGGCCCAATGATCAGCAACCAGATGCCTATGGGAATCGTGCAAGCCAGACATGAGTAACAGCATTATCCCCACTTGTTATTCCCAGCATCTGGTATTCAGAGGTACAACACCCTCAACAATGGGGGTAGAACATAGCCATCTAGCCCAGTGTTTCCCAGACTTGGATCTCCAGCTATTTTCAGACTATAATTCCCATTCTATAGTCTAAAAACAGCTGGAGACCCAAGTTTGGGAAACACTGATCTAGCCTTATGCCACCATGAATTCACCGTATCCTCTATTTACTCTAAGTTGGTAGCCATCACTACAACTTGTGAGAGTGAATTCTATAGTTTAATTTTGTGCTGGGTGGATAAGTACTTTCTTTTGTCTCTCCCACATCTTCCAATTTTCAGCTTCTGGTTCTAGTATTATCAGGGAAGGAGAAAGGTTTATTTCCCTACCCAGTTTCTGCACACCATACATAATCTTAGGAGAATTGTTTCAACCCCTTGATCATTTTGGCTGCCCCTTTCTGACGTTTCCCCAGCTCAACGATATCCTTTCATGAGGCGTGGGAGCCATAACTGAGCACAGTAGTCCATGTGCAATCTCACTATGGGTTTGTATAATGGCTTATACAACACAGTAAGATTATTATATTGACAGTTTTATTTTCAACCACTTTCCTAAGGTTCCCTAACATGGAACCCATCGTTTTCACAGCTGCCACATATTGGGGTCAACATCTTCATCAAGTTATCCACTATGACCCCAAGATCTTGTTCCTGGTCAGTCACTGCCAATTCATCTCACATAAACAAATATGAAAAAAAAATTTTTTTGGGGGGGGGAGTTACCCAATGTGCACAACTGCAAATTCTAACCACTACTGCTGTCTGGGCCAGAGCAAGAGGCAGGTAAACAAACAAGGAGGTTGCAATGATAAAGAAGAGGAGCAGGTCCAGGAGGCTCATCAGTGTACCCCCTGTTGTTTGGGTGTGGGTCTTTGGCAAACACCGGACCATGTCAGCCCCTAAACACCAACCCTGAAAGTTACACATAATGTGGCATTCACTACAGTGTAGTTTTTTCTACATAGGAAAGCATAAAGAGCAACTATTTCATTCCATTTCTTTGCGTATGACATTTGCTCATAGAATTCTATAGACTCCACAGTCACAGGAATGCATCAATATCTATCCACACATTCTGCACAGTGGACTTCACCCTCACATCCCACCAATGACGGCCAAAGATGGCACCATATCAAAATACACACCGCTGCTGCAGGTCATGAAAGAACAGGAAAAGAGCTGCCAGAAAAAACAATGATTTGTTTGAATACACAGAAGCTGACCTTCGACACAGTGATGTGGACTATTAAGACTGCTGACTAGTGATTATGAAGAATGTTTGGCTTCCTTTTAATGCCCTTTGGACCATAAACACTCCACGTCAGATGTGAGTAACTGCATATATGTGTGACTCCCTCCGTGGAACTGCAGTAGAGTAAGGACCAGGGAGGAATTTTTTCACAGACATATTGGGCTGGGTCTGGGGGTGTTGCGGACTTCATGGCAAACACTCTAACTTTAGGGCAGAAGAAGCACTGGTCTGGATCCTTAGCAGGAATGGGCACAGGAAGGGCCCCCTTGCCCCATCCAAGTGTGGGATCTCCTTAAGGGATCTTGGAGGGCACTGCTTGCTGTCCAGCTCAGGGGTTGACAAGCAACCATGCCCCCTGCCAGTGACTGAACAAGGTCCACTGGAAGTGGTTCATGTCATGGCAGGTCCCTAACACTGGTACACTGCATCTATCAAAAGAAAGCATGTCAACCAGCAGGACGACTTGTTGATCAATGGATCATGTCCAATGCCTATGGCAATGGATACATGCCCAGTGCCTATGGCAAACCTATATGACTGCAGTCAATAAGGTTGTGGCCTAATTACAATCTAACACCTGTCTCCTGGTCTTCATTCGCTGCCTGCACAAGTCCCTCCATGGCTTCTCTGTGCCTGGGTTTGCAATACACAGTCGCTCTGGAAGCTCCCCCAAATTATTCATTCAGAACAGAAATAGCTGATGTAAATGAAGTTTGCCCATATATTTGTTACAGAGAAGGAATGTAACATATTTGAAATAATTCATTTACAATATTGCAAAGCTCACAGATTTGGCACTTTCTTCTTTCCCTAAAAAATAAAACAAAAAGGAAGTGGTTGTTGCACAGCAGTTAAGATGTGGTGCCATTGTTAATTTTAGATTGGCCATGGACCATCTCCCTATCCATTTGTATAAGCAGGGGGGAAATGTGTTTTCAAGAATCTATCAAACATTAACACACCTTGAGGTGAGGTGACTATAAAAAGAGGATGTTTAAAAATAAACTGTTGCTGGTTTGGGTCTTGCACAGTGTAAATGACATCTTAACAAATGATCTGAGATGTTTCAAGATAGAAACAACTGTACAGGCTTCACAATTCCAGTGTGATGTTATAAACAACAACCAATAAGGCTAAAGAGAAAAGCTTTAAAGATTTGATGTTTAACATTTAAATAGCTGCACAATTAATCACTGCACATTTCTTTCTTCAGATATATGTTGTTTAAAAAACAAATCACAAAAACACCCTCCAGATATTTTGTCTTTTTTAAAATTCACAGCAGTGTCCTTATTGGGAGAATGCACCTCATAAATATTGCAAGTCCAGACATGTGTACCTGCCTTCTAATGTCATTGCTACTCACAGTGAGCTGCATAGAAGGTGACATATAACAATGAGGGATGGTTAAGTTACCCTTATGACACACATACAAAAAGCATGAAATAAAAGTCATTCAAGATCTGGGGATTCCTTTTTCTGTGCATTACTGCACAGTGTGCTCTGTTATTTCATGAATTTCACAGGTATAATTTTGAAAAAGAAAAAAAGAAAAAAGGATGGGTGTAATTCAGTTCCTCATTTATTGTGCAGGGATCATCACACACACCCAGGTTCACAAGGTATCCCCAACAGCAGCCAGCACCTGAGGGCTGTGCATTCAATTAAACCAAGTTACGCAATGTCAACAATGCTATTGTGAACCAGGCCATGGCATGGCCATGGGTGGCTTCCTGTACATCATAATAATTACATGAATGATATATTCTAGTGTTCAGTTAACGCATGGGGGCGTGAAGGGTGAAGGAGGTGCAGGAAAGGGGAAAATGGCAGCCTAGGCCCCCTCATGTCCTCATCACTACCAGCTCCACTCTCAATCTTCCAATGTTGAGTTGGAAGGTCTGGGGAGGGATTCCTTGTGCATTTGGCAGAATGTGCTTATAAACTGCCATCACCCTTAGAAAAGTTTATGAGTGTTTTCAGCTAAATGCACTTAGAAGCCCCCTTCAGACCATTCCATTCAACATGGGAAGGTTGGGGCACAGGTGGTGGGAACAGGGATTTGCTCCCACATGATCTTTGAATGACTGAATAGGGCTTATAGTCAGACGGTATCTGCATTAAGCCACTTCCCGTGTAATTTGGGTGATGTCAGTGTTGTCTTGGCCTTTCCCCTCCTGGGGGCGAAAAACAGCTTTGTGACAGAGTGATTGAAATAATTACAAGCACACAACTGTATTACAGTGAGTGTGTTCTCAATATCTTGCTTTTTGAAATCCTGCTTTTATGCCTTAAACAGATTTCCAAAGCTGCACCCAAAACATAGGAACACTTAAAAAATACAACTGAGGAGCCAATTTGTGTTGCTCCATTGGCCAGGAAAATGCTAACGCTGATCCAATCTCAAATTAGCTCTATGTGGTAGCATCCCAGCTTTGGAATAGCTTTGCCTCTTGAGACTAGACAGTCATTGACACTGGATGGGTTGTGATCTCAAGCAAAGACCATTTTCTTTTACCAGGCCTTCCAATAGCAGTGGCGATATGGTATTTGTTAGATAAAGGGATTCGTATTTTGTTGGTTTTAACTGAAGTATTTTCATTTGAGTGCAGTAATTTTTATTCCTGCTTTGTACTTTGGTTTTCACCGAAACCCACCCTGAAACCATGTGTTGAAGGGTGGGATGCAGGGCTCTGGTTGGAGAACACCATCAGCTTACAAGCAAAAAAGCTAGATAAGATTAAGCAGTGGGTTCACACATTACTCATTGTTCTCTTAAATGTTAAATGCAGGTTTAGGTTTGGGTAGCTCTGATAATATTAGCTGAGCTATTCTGAAAATCAGGTCCTTCATATTTGGTTATGACTATACATATACACGAGTAGCTATTTGTAATGCAATTTGACACAAATGCTTTAGGACTGTCATTTAAGAGTTCATGGTTGGCCTTTAGAATTCTCAGTAGGCCAACTGAATTTGAGATATATTTCTTTTGAAAAGGAACATACCAACCCCAGTTAGGGAGATGCTATTAAATGAAAGACAAGATGAATGCAATTCCCCTGGCACAAACAGTTCTTGGAAGAACAGCCTACTAATGCTTTCTGTCTTTCTTTAATATTCTCTAGAAAGCTTTTGCTTTTAAGATGTAGTAAGTTTAGATTTCACTTGCGACAGTCCAAAGGGAATATAACAAAAAGACAAAACAGCAACCCAGTTGTTTTAAAGTGACAGAAAGGACTGGGGTGGGAAGAGAAAGAAAGTCAGTATTGAAAAGAGATGCCTTCCTATTCTTTATAAATTTATAAACTGGATACTTCTCAAAGAGTACACTATCTCTACTATCTTCGATAAAGTTAGCATTAGTACATATAAGAAGTCCGACTGCTGAATCTGAAGTTAACAGCATTTCCCTTTTTCTCCATTAAACTCTTTATTCTTCCGTTATGTCCCTCCAAGGGTGATAAAACCAATAGGAAGAAAAGAAAGAACTTGCCAACTACATTAAATTACATGCAGCACTTGCCAAAAACATTTTGGTGCCTGAGGCAGAGATTTTCCCCACCCCCAGCAGCAGTAAAGCTAAAATAAAATTGTAAATTATGTAACTAGCAATTTGCTACTATTTAAAGGTGGCCAGATTTTGCTGCCTGAAGTGCCACTTCATATTATCTTCTGGCAGAGAGCTGATTGTGACCATATGCCAATACTTAGCTAGATTTGGGTGGAAAATAATTCCTGTGTCTGTATGATAATATCCTTCAATCCATGAGAACTTTTTGAGAAAGGACAACCTGCCAATTCACACAGGGTCACTATACTTGAAAATGGACACTGGGACAAAATTTTCTGGGAACAAATCCATTTTTTAAAAAAGAATTCAGAATTCAGGAGGTGTCCATGAAGAAAAAAAGTGGACATTACAGGGCTTTCCCCTGTCCTGCAGTAACAGATGAGCAATTATACTATATCCAGCCTTTGCATAGGCACTGCCCTCTCTGATTCAGTTTTGGAGATGAGTATGATTAGCATCACATCTTGGCACACAAGCAACATATACAAAAATATTTTGTACCAACATTCTTGCTGACTATAGTTAACACCAAGCAGCACTCTGCAACTATGGTTAGAAGCAGATCACAAACTGTAGTTTGGGTGAACTATAGTTAGCAAAAAGAAAATGCTTTAGGGCTGCAATGAACCTTTTAATATGATGGGTCTTTACTGCCCCCCCCCCCTTATTTCATGCATTTCCCCCCATTAGCCTGACTGCAATGTCAACAAAAAGTGAGGTAAAACAGGCTATTCCCTGCCTGTTTACAAGGAATGCCATTTAAGAGAACAACAGGCTTACTGAACTGGTAACAAGACGTGTTAACAGGTGTACTTATCACAAGCCCTACCTCATGTCCTCTGTCTTGCACAGGACATGATTCACTGTCTGCTTCAGAGAACGATCCAGACTCATCGCTAGAGTTTGTTCCATAGGATGGCTCACATTTTATCTGGGGTCTGACTTGGTTGTACATTCCATCTCCCATCACGCTCGGCTCCTGATGCTCAGCGGTCAGGAACCGAGTTCCTTGGGAACAGGGGGAAGATGAAAACTCGCAGAGAGGGAGGCTACATGGCGAACCCCCGCTGCCATCCTCCGCGTATGAGTAGGAGGAACATGAGCTGGAGGTCCTCGTTCTGGTTTCTAGTGGAGGAGAGCGAGGGCAAACTTTAATTGGCACTGGGCAGCTGGTGTTCGGCCGCATCCGTCCTGGTAAGAGATCAGCTGCCTGTCCAATGTGAGAATAGGTCTGGCAACTGGGAAGGGACTGGCTACTTCCTGCCCAGAGACCCTTTGGCACAGTCTCGGTGAGATCTTTGTCCAAGCTGCTCATGCCAGAATATGAATGCACCGAAGTGTTTACTTGGTCACAAACATTTGAAGAGAATATAACACTCCTCCTGTCCACCTCACCTTCCTGCTTACAGAGACCTTCAACAAAGCCAGGGCCCCTGAGAGGCGATCCCACGGTAAAATTGGAAGCATCCTTCTGAACAGCTTGGGAGAGTCCATAATTCCCTGTGAAAGGGACATAATCAGTTTTGTGGTCACCCTGAGTTGTCCCCTTATCGAAAGGGCATGCTGGACTCCTGGCAAAGTGCTGTTGGGAAGTACTGGGGAAGCCAACTAAGTCTACATTTTTTGTTCGGTTGAAGAAAGACCTTAGGCAGGAAGGGGAGGAAACACTTTTAGACCCGTCAGCTCCGGTGGGACTTGGCTGCTTCCGGTCCATTTCAACATCCCCCTCTTTATCCCTGATGTCAGGCTCATCTCCAGAGAGGCAAAGCGTGATGTTTTCTTCATCATTCTCCTCACTCCTAGGCTCACTTTTAATTTGCCCTACAGGAAGCTCTGGCTTGAGGCTATCGCCAGAACTTTCTTCACTGAATGTGCTTGCAAAACCTGAGGTACTAATGTGTGATGCGTTGTAGACATTCTTGGTACAAGCCATCTGGTATTTCTTATATCTGGGTAACCGTGTCACTGCTTCTTTGTCCAAACTGTCCTTGCCATCATTCAAGATATCAGAGTCGGGCAGCATCCCTTCTTCCTTGTCCGCTCCCGAACTGGCCGATTCAAAGTTAAAGGGCTCTGGGTGCGTTCTCTCCCTTGGGCAAGAGATCTTGGAAGTCTCCGACTCCATTGTCTCCTCCTCTTCTCCCTCGGAGTTCTCGTCTTCATGCATCCGCTGGTAGGTGGTGTCTTTTTTGCACAGAAACAGGCCATCTTCATTGTTCAGGAGTTGCGTTTGAAGGAAGCTGAAGCAAGAATCCTCCAGGTTGTGCATGCGCAGGAACTCTGCACAGTGGATGACCTCTCGTATGTTTTCTCTGCTGAGTAACAGCTTAGCAGTGTAGGCAAACTGTAACAATGGGCCAAATCCCCTGGCAGTGACCTGCAAAAGAACAAAAACACAGGGAAATTGCCAGCATTACCATCAGCACTGCTATTGTCCCAAGCCCCTCAAGTGTAGTTAGATAACTCAACAGTTCTAATGTCCATAAATACCACCGTCCAATAGTTAATCTTTCCTTAAGTCAGCAGTAATGCTACTTCCAATCATTAATGCTGGCTGCCCTGTTGCTGCTTGCACACTTCATATTAGAGGATGAGCTAAACATCACTTCCAACAAATGACTTAAAGAGAGATGAGATATGTGGCAAATGGTATTTTTATGTTTAACGAACTCAAGAATGCTGCCAAGTTTCCAATGAGTGCACGAATCTCACCAATTTCACAACATTCCCATAATCTAGGCTGACTTCACTCTGTGATCAGAATAAATTATGCCAATTACAAAATCCTTTATTCTTCTTCAACAGTTTATCGGGTTTTCAAAGAAATGGAATATATTATTATAATGGTTAGTTTAGTGAAAACCAAGTCCCCTACGCTGGAACAATGTAAGTATTAAATGGTACTAATAAAAAGCTGGAGAAGGGCATGGGGTTTGTCTGAGTATGCAATAGAAGTGGGAAGACAGAGAACATTAAGCATGGAGACAACTTGAATAATTGTATAGGAAACTATCCCACAAATGCTGGAGTCTCTGGTTGAGTTCAGATAAGGATTTAGTTAAACACTTATATTACATCATGGTTTCTCTAACAACATAGGGAAGCCGGCTATAGCCTCCCAATACACAGTGAAATACAATGTTAACATGCACCTGCTTCCCCAGATTTCGGCATCGCTGTGAAGAAGTAATAATTCTAGCCTTAACCATGTAGTTGATTGAATTCACTCTCAGATAGATTTATGGTCTACAAGTGCTCTGGTGCATCGAGTTCATTCACCTAAATAAATTTGACTATGTCAAAATTAGGGGTGTATAAGGAGATGATGATGATGATGATGATGATCATAAGGTTTCTATCTTTGCACTGTGCTCCCCCTTCCCTAAAACAACTTGGGAACTATCTCTGCTGTGAGCCTGACAGGAGGAAAATGTGATGATACGTAATAATGATGCCTCTGAAATAGGTTCCTGCGTTGCAGTTCAGTTGGACCTCATTGCAGTTGGGGTCCCTTCCAACTCTATGATTCTATGAAGTGACTGGCTAGCCAGAGCAGCCCCCTCAGTTCAGGGCTGGCTCAGGACGTTTTGCTGTATGAGGCAAAAGATAAATGGCACCGTCCCCGAAGGCACATATTGTACATAAGCCAACTGGAAGTGGTGGTAGAATCTTACTACAGTACTGATGAAAGGACAGTGTATTCAACTGCAGTTGAGGGCAGCAGGCTATCATAGGGGTCATGGCACTCACAGCTCCCTGCACCTCAGCTTCTGCCGCTTGAAGCAGCTGCTTCACTGTGCCTCAGCTTACGGCTGGCTCTGCCTCAGATAATATATGTATTCTATGAACAATTTGTAAAACTCAGATATTAAAAATGTCACTTGGGTCTTCAGCGCGACTATTTGCACTAATAAAAGTCCAAACCAAAGCAAGCACTTAATAGCCTGTGTACACTAGTCCACTTTGTGATTTCACTTCCTTCTAATTAAGGTTTTTGCTTACTGTCTCAGTCTGGCTTTGGTCAAAGTGTATGTGTGTGTGTGTGTGTGTGTGTGTGTGTGTGTGTGTGTGTGGGTGTGTATAAATAACCTAGGTGGCGCTGTGGTCTAAGCCACTGAGCCTAGGGCTTGCCGATCAAAAGGTCGGCGGTTCGAATCCGCACAACAGGGTGAGCTCCCGTTGCTCTGTCCCAGCTTCTGCCAACCTAGCACTTTGAAAGCACACTAGTGCAAGCAGATAAATAGGTGCCGCTGCAGCGGGAAGATAAACAGCATTTCCGTGCGTTCTGGCTTCCGTCACGGTGTTCCGTTGTGCCCAAAGCAGCTGGCCACATGACCTGGAAAGCTGTCTGTGGACAAATGCCAGCTCCCTTGGCCTGAAGCAAGATGAGCACCACAACCCAACCCGATAGTCACCTTTGTGTGTGTGTGTGTGTGTATGTGTGTGTATACATATACATATACAGTGGTGCCCCGCAAGACGAACGCCTCGCAAGACGGAAAACCCGCTAGACGAAAGGGTTTTCCGTTTTGGAGGCGCTTCGCAAAACGAATTTCCCTATGGGCTTTCGTCTTGCGAAAGGGAAGGGAAATCTCTGGGACAGCGGGGAAGCGCAGCGCATCTTCCCCACTGTCCTCGGACCTCCTCCGAAGGCTGGCGGCAGGCGGAGAGACCTCCTTCCGCCGCCAGCCTTCGTTTCTCCGCTATCCCGGACGGCTTTTGAAGGCAGGCGGGGGGGAGCAAAGACTTTCGCCCCCCGCTGGCCTTCAGAAGAGGTCCAGGACCCCTTCTGAAGGCCGGCGGGGGGCGAAAGTCTTTGCTCCCCCCTGCCTGCCTTCCCGGGAGAGTGGAGAAACGCAGCATGTTTCTCCGCTGTCCCGGACGGCTTTTGAAGGCAGGCGGGGGGGAGCAAAGACTTTCGCACCCCGCCAGCCTTCAGAAGAGGTCCAGGACCCCTTCTGAAGGCCGGCGGGGGGCGAAAGTCTTTGCTCCCCCCTGCCTGCCTTCCCGGGAGAGCGGAGAAACGCAGCGTGTTTCTCCGCTGTCCCGGACGGCTTTTGAAGGCAGGCGGGGGGGGGGGAGCAAAGACTTTCGCACCCCGCCCGCCTTCAGAAGAGGTCCTGGACCTCTTCTGAAGGCTGGCAGGGGGCAAAAGTCTTTGTCCCCCCTGCCTGCCTTCCCGGGGGCTTTTAAATCGCCCCGGGACAGCGGAGAAGTCCCCCGCTGTCCCGGGGCTTTTTAAAATGCTGGCGGGCGGCAGCGGAGGCTTCGCTCCCGACCGCCATCATTTTAAGATCGCCCCGGACAGCGGAGAAGTCCCCCGCTGTCCCGGGGTTTTTTAAAATGCTGGGGGTGGGAAGAAAAGCCCTTGGTCCCCCCCCCAGCCTTCAGAAGAGGTCGGGGGACAGACTGTCCCCGGACCTGGTCTGAAGTCGGTTTCCATAGGAACGCATTAATTGATTTTCAATGCATTCCTATGGGAAACCGTGCTTCGCAAGACGAAAAACTCGCAAGAAGAAAAAACTTGCGGAACGAATTAATTTCGTCTTGCGAGGCACCACTGTACATATACATATACATATACATATATCTGTAGTTATCTAATGCAGCCACTAGGTGGGAGAACTGCAAAACAAGTAGAGTCTTGCCTAAGAGCTTCCAAGTACCGGGTATGTTTTAACCAGTACCTCTTGCAATGCCATTTAGGCAAAATAAAAGAAATTTCACTGACTCAGAACATTCCACGGTACATTTTTCTTTCAAGCTGATTCAAGACTTTCAGCACCCCAAAAGCATAGCATTTGAGACATCTGCTACATGTGTCTTCCTCCAGAGGATATTGCATGCAGTATTGTGATGTTGTTCACACTGCATCCTAGACAGCTGCTTGCTCTTAAAAACAAAGGGCAAAAAAATCCAGGAGGGGGGAAGCAGGGAGGTAAGAGGACTGAATCAGTGTGGCATGTTTGTATCTACAAAAATCCTGTATCAGTAACAACACAGCATCAATTTACAAGAGGCACTGGGTAGTAACGCTGTATTTTGAAGTACTATAACAGGCGTCTTTGCAAATTTAAAAGATGCCCTCAGGGAGGACTCTTAGAAGCATTTCAGACCAGCACTAATGTTTCAAGTACATAAACAGCAACTTTCATGATGAATGCAAGCAAGGCTTGCTGGCAAGTGTGGAAGCTGGCAGAATCTCAGTAGCCTGAAGCTGTCTAAATATTGATTTGGCCTTTATTGTGGGTCCACCAGCACACTGCCTTTGGAACTGCTTGTATTTAATTTGCTGTGACAAGAAAGCAGATATTCAGGGACTGCAAAGTGCTTATAAATATTGCACATTTTAAAGAGGAAGGTTTAAAAGCTGCATACATTACATCCACACACTTGTTTTCTGTATATGATGGTAAGGGCTTTCCGCGGTGCAAACCCCTTCCACCATTTCTGGGCGAAACTTAAGTATGCTACAATGACAGCATAACAAAGAGAATACACAATGGGATGCAACATCTTTCTGCAGCAACAATGATGAGAGTAAAATAGCAGTTTTTAAAAAATTAATAACCAAGGGGTGCCAAATGATTAAGATATTCCATACGTACAACAGAGCAGCTTTCAACTCGGACCCAAATGTTAACCTGTCAACTCAGCCCTAAAAATGTCCACATAAAATGGGTGTGTCAGAAAGTATGTCACTAGTCTCCTTAGTTGCATTTCTTTACTGAATACCCACTTAGGTTGCAACAACCTCAATTCCTAGGAGCTTGTGTGCGGGTTTGTGTAAGCTCTATGTTCATCAAAATGGCCATGCAGAGGATGTTTTGCCCAAGAATGCACATTTCAGTTCAGCTGCAATCCAGACAAACAACCCCTCCTTCCTTTTTAGTGGCTTAGATTAGTCTGCAACCTTGTGTGAACTTGCATACTTAGCTGTGCAGTACAAAGAATATTGGATTTCTACATGAGAGATCAAAGTTCAAATCCCTACTCGATTGCTCGGACATTTGCTGAGTCTCTGCTACCTTGCAGGGCAGCTGGGGAAGTTAGAATGAAATAAGGACATAGCATATTTTGCCATTAGAGATACAACCATAGTTCATACTACTTGGCTCAGAAAGTAACTCTTTAACTCAAAATGCTTGCACTAAACATAAAAAAGGCCTTCCAAGCAACATCTCTCTCCACTCAGATTTTGAACTAAGCCAGAGAAAAACTCAATTCCTTTCCCACTGTCTCTCACATAAGACACCAAAACCTTCTCCCCTGCTCCCTCCCCCTTCCCCGGAAACCCTCTCTTCCTCCCTCCCACTTCTTTGCCTGGCTGCTTCCAGAAGAAGAGGAAGTGTCTCCATCTTCCTTTTGCTTTTGAAG